ACTTTGAAGAGGATTCTGAAGAGCAGGCCTTGTTTCCTCGGCTCTGCACTCTCCCTGTTCCCAAGAGGATGTTCTCTACAAAACCCATTTTTGCTTTGCCAGCTGCCCTCACAAAGACTCTTCCATTAAGTAGCCAGAAAGCAGGCCCAGAGACTCATGGAGAGTGCTTACTTCTTCCCATCCACCTCCTGTCCATGTGCTGTCCTTGAAAACACAGCCTGAATTCTTCTCCTTCTCATTGCTGCACCCTCCCACAGCTGTAGCAGAGGCTAGCATGTAGCTTTCTCAGGCCTCAAACCACAGCCCGAAAGGCATCTCCTTTAGAAACGCTGCATCCCACAGCTTCAACATGAACAGTGCTTCAGAGAATCTTTCCAGCAATAAATACATCTGCCTCTTTGCTCATCACTTGGTTGCAGCCCTTTGTCTGTTGATCCACTTTCTGTTCCTAAGAGGGCAGAAGAGACAAGTGCAGCGGAACCCGCTACTCCACATGACCGAGTGACATCTCCATAAACGGGTACCTGGACAGCCTGCTCCCTGTGAGGGCACATCAATCAGAGAGAAGCCCTGGGAGAAAATGAGAAAGCGGAGAAAAGCTCCCATTTCGTCAGACGTGATGGTGGAGCAGGTGACTGCTGGTGAGGGGCATAGTGTCTGAGCAGAGGCAGGACTGGTCTGAGCTCTAGGAACCCAGTAAAGGCAATGTTTGACGGTTCCATTCCATTAGCTCCATTGGTGAGCTAATGAGCACCAGTGTTTCTCAGGTAGGAGACAGGAATAAATTGGGGTGACGGGGCTGTCTCTCAGGCTGTAATTCCAAAACACTGAAAATGGCTGGACAGTAGTGGCGTATGCCTTTAATCCCAGCATAGGGATGCTGAGGCAGGTGACTCTGTGAGTTCAAGGCCAGTCTGGTCTACAGAGCAAGTTCTAAAGCTACACAGAAAAACTGTCACAAATAAATACATAAATAAATAAATAAATAAATAAATAAATAAATAAATAAATACAAACAAAACAAAACACTGAAAATGTTGTGTTATCTGAAAAAAGACATTTAAAATTACAGACCTTTGGGGCAAGAGATGTAGCTCAGGTGGTACTGAGAGCTTGACTTGAGCATACAAGGCCCCGGTTCAAGCCCCACACCACAAAACCCAGGTTTGGTAATGTATGCCTGCAATCCTAGCATTTGGAAGTTAGATGCAGAGGATCAAAATTTCAAGGTCATTATCAGCTACATAGCAAGTTCCAGATTGGCTACATACAAGGGTTGCTGGAGAAGTCCCAGAGTTCCCAGTGGCTCACAAACACCCACAACTCCAGTTCTAGGGGATCCAACACCCTCTTCTGGCCTCCAAGGCTTCCTGCACATGGTATGTGTACATATATTCAGAAGAACACCATTCACATTCAACTTAAAAATAAATATAAAAAATTGTTAAACAGATTAAAGGCCTTAAAACTAACAGATTATACTAGATTTTCTGTGTGAGTTCAGCACTGGGGAAAATGAACCCTAAACTAGATGCTGCAGTGGTCCCAGGTAGCAAAATCTAAAGTTAAGATGCAGAATAATCAAACTGATTTCCAATATCCTGTGTCCCTGAAGAGCTAAAGAATATTTATGGGAATGTGAAAATATTTAGCAACCAAGCTAAAATTCACAATCAATTAAAATGCTCAGTCATGCAGACAAAGCAGGAAGATACAGCCAATAATGATGGGGAAATCAATCATTTAAACTGACCAAGAGCAAGGACATGAATAGGGTTCTACAGTGTTCTGTGTGCACAAAGCTAGCAGGAAGCTGGATCAGAGACAGGGAAAAGATAGGGAACCTCCGCTGACCTGAAGAGATGGAAACCACACTGGTTTAGGTGAGAAAATGTACCGGATGGAAAGAGAAGCAGACAGAGAAAATGAAAAACAGAAAAAGTTATATAATGGAATACTGGGGGAAAAATAATTGAGGGCTGTAGTGTTGGCTCAGCACTTGTTGCCCTTGCCGAGGACTGCAGCTCAATACCTAGCACCCACATGGTAGCACACAACCAGCCATGACTCTAGAAGCAGGGGTTCAAAACCCTCTTCTGACCTTCAAATGTACCAGGCACACACAGGGTGCATGTATGCAGAACACTCATAGACATAAAGCAATAAAATAAATATTCAAAAAGAAAAAGCCCAACAAAAGAAAGAGTGAAAAAGCATACAAGGCTGGATAGATGATCCAGTGGCTCCAAGCACTTGTCCTTCCTGAGGGCACAGGTTCAGTTCCCACCACCCACATGGTTGCTGGCAACCACCTGTCTCTCCAGTTCTTTTCTGACCCCTGTAGGCATTGTTCACATATATACATACATAAATGCAGGCCAAATGCTCACACACTTAAAACAGTAAACGATAGCATGCAAGCTATCAGATGTCTTCATGTATCTATGTACTCCCAGTTGTTCAAAGCAGAATGTGGTTAATAAGAAATGCTTGAAAGAAGTAACCAATTTCAAATTTTAGTAAGAGCCATAAACTTAAAAACAAACAAAAGCCCCAGGAACTTCAGTGGACTGCAGGTACAGGGAACACAGGAGCAGATTTTACTCCTGCAATAGGGTGCGGATGTTCGAGGAAGCCCAACCACAAGACCACAGTGCACACAGAGGAACAAGAGTAAGGATGACAACAGATTTATCAGTAGATATACTGTGAACTATAAGAAACTGGAGTAACATCTTTAATACATTGAAAGAAAAAAGGACCATCCAGAAGTAACACCTTGTATTGAATCTGTGGTTTCAATGTGTCCCCGGGCTTTGTCCCCAGGAGTGTTCCAATGCAGTTCAGGTGCCCTGAAAGTCTTTTGAGCTCTCTCCTCTCCTTCCCTTTCTCTGTTCTGAAAGGCCCAGGGGCTGGGAACATGCCCAGGTCACACTGGTAGCCAGCACAGCCTACTGCTGATTCACAACTGCGGTGGTGGGTAGCCTTCATACTGGCAGCTGGCAGGCGTTCTTGGCTCTCAGTAGAATGATGCTTTGTTTTCACAAAAGATCCAGAGGCCTGAATTGGGCTGGCACCAGTGAACTTGGTACCCTTGCCCAAGTTACAAGCCCTGTTTTTCTGAAGCCCTGGCTTCTCAGTAGACCACAAGGCTCTGAGGTGACAGGATTTGGGGGAGTTTGGAGCCACCTCCAAATCTCAGATACCAGGGGTTGATTCTGTATGTCACACCAGGCAGAGACCAAAGGAGAAAATCTAAAGACCTGTAGAGACAGTTTACATGCTCCCGGTGTGTGTTCTTTAGGTCTGACCACAGGGCCGATGGGGTCAAGCCTAGAGACCACTGGAAGGGACAGAATTTGGTGGCAGGGGATTGTGAGCCACACTTGTGAGTACAGAGACTTCATCTTCAGTCTTTGACACCAGCAGTTCATGCTCTTAACCACTGAGTCATTTCTCCAAATGGAGAAAAAACAATTTAAAGTAGTGCTGACTGGAAAGGTGGCTCATGGGCTAGGGATAATACTGCTAGCCAGGCCCAGTGGCACATACATGTCTTTAATCCCAGCACTAGGGAGGCAAAGGCAGGCAAATCTCTGTGAGTTTGAGGTCAGCCAGAGCTACATAGGTGAGACTTTCTTAAAAGAAGAAGAAGAAGAAAAAAAAAAGCATACTGCCCTTGCAGTTCCCAGCATGCAATTGGGCAGTTCCCAGCTGCCTGTAATTAATTCCAGCTGCAGGGAATCCAGCGTCCCCTTCTGGACCCCTTGGGCACCTGCATCCTTGTGTCCATTCCCCCATGCAGACATCTCACTTAAAAAAGAAAATATTTTTTAAAATTAGAGTGAAAAGGCTAGGCGACGGCTCAGTGGGTAAAGTGCTTGCCTCTCAAGTCAGAGCATCCAAGTTTAATCCTCAGAAGCCAGATTTTTAAAAGGGCAAATGTGGCAGTGTGCACTTGTAATCCAGCACTGGGGAGGTGGAGACAGGCAGATCCCACCTGGTGAGGTCCAAGCCAGTGAAAGACCCTGCCTCAGAAACAAAAAAACAAACAAACACACACACACACAAAACACAACCAAACAAAAACCCAAGGTGGAATGTCTAAAGAGATGGCACAACAGGCCAGAGTCCACACTATTCTTGCTGTGAATCTAAGTTCAGTTCTTAGCACCATGTCACCAGGCTCACAACAGCCTGTGACCTCAGCTATCGAGGATCTGATACCCATATCTGGCTCTGAAGGCAACTGCACTTATGTACACAAAGACATACATGAATACATGAAGTTTAAAATATAATTAAAATATATTTTAAAAACAAGGTAGATAGTACCAGAGGAGTGGACATCTGAGGTTGTCTTCCAATCTGCATGCATGAGCAACACACACACACACACACACACACACACACACACACACACACGTGCCAACAGTCACCCATAGTACTATCAGAATAATTTCCATGTCCTTCCATAGCATTTATTTATTTTTTAAAAGATTTATTTATTATGCATACAGGATTATGCTTGCATATATGCCTGAACACCAGAGAAGGGCACCTGATCTCATTACAGATGGTTGTGAGCCACCATGTGGTTGCTGGGAATTGAACTCATAACCTCTGAAAGAGCAGCCAGTGCTCTTAACCTCTGAGCCATTTCTCCAGACACCCCTACCCCCAGTAGCATTTTAGACTCTCAGCATCAGCAGGCTCCATTTCTTCCACCTGAGATGGACATCTTTACTAACCTCTCCTTGAATGAAAAAAAGTGTGTGTGTGTGTGTGTGTGTGTGTGTGTGTGTGTGTGTGTGTGTGTTAGTAGCATGGTTGGAGCACACGAAGCCAGTCAGTGGAAAGGGGGGGGGGGTGCGTCGAAGGAGGAGTACCTAGCACCTCTAGCAACAAGCACAATGGTATTATTGATTCTTGTGAAGGAATAATTTTACAAGAAGTACCACAGAATCATAGAACGCAGCCAGTTCCTTTAGATTCTTCTATATCATGGTGGAGAAGGGAGGAGGGTGCTATGAGGCAGGGAGTGAGCAGAGGGCCAAATTCTGAGTCTCCTGGTCCAGCAGCTGAGTATCAGACAGCATCTCGTTGGTGCAGCCTCAGATGTTCATGGTCAAGATGATGAACTGGAAATAAAGCAAGAGATGAGGGCTTGCCCTTCCAAGTCCAGTCTAGCACAGGAGAGGCCTCAGTCTGTTCATGTCACAAGAACGCTGCTGGTCATTTTGCTTATAAATCTGGACTTCTGACTCAACATGAAATCCTTTCTTTTAAATTTAAATTAAAACAAATTTGGTGGGTGTGTTTTAATTTATATAAATTAAAATATACAATTATTTTATGTATGTATGCATGTGTGCAGACCAGAGGTAGATATCAGGCATTTTTCTTCCTATTTTATATTTTGACACAGGACCTCTCACTGACCAGTGAGCTTCAGCCCCCAGGGCTTGGATTACAGATACATGCCATCAAACATGGTTTTTTACATGGGTTATGGTGGGCTCCAAACTCATGTCTTCATGCTTATGTAGCAGGCTCTTCACACACTGAACCATCTCCCTGGCCACATGATTTTTTTTTTCTTTTTAAAAACCTGAATGAACTTTCAGGCCAGAGAAATGACAATATGTTGTCTCTACCAGGATCTATCCCTGGTGCATGAGTTATGAGGGGATGCCATGCTCAGCTTTAACACAGCAGGAAGGGCCTTGGTCCTGCCCCAACTTAATGTGCTAGACTTTGTCAACTCCCCATGGGAGCCCGTACTTTTGGGAGGTATGGGTGGGGGGTGGGCTAGGGGAGAGGAGAGGGGAAGCGGGAGGAGGGATGGGAGGGAGAACTTTGGTTGGAATGTAAAATGAAATTTAGAAAAAAATGTAAAACAGTAAATTTACAAAAGAAAATGTTTTCTCCCGGTTGAAGGGGACAGCCTCACAGAAACATCTTGGGCAGGGCAGTGTGAGTTGTGATTGCTTTTTGGTGACACCCCCTTTTTCAGATAAAGGTGACCCGGATCCTTCTATCATAGTGGAGCTGAGGGACTGAGAAGCAGACTGATGACTCAGCTCTTTGTGAGAAAGCGAACTGCTCCAGAAGCAGCCGGAAGTGTTTCATCTCTTCCCTTCATCCTACCAGGCTCATTCACGTGTCCACAGAATGCCTGTTTCCTCCACATGTCTTTCTTGGGCATAGCATGAACACACACTGGTGCAATGAGGACATGCACAGCTCAAAGAGTTACACTGACTCCAAGTTGACACAAACACTTCACAGTGTAATTGCCCACTGTGAGTGCTAGCCCTGCCTGGGGCATCCGGTATGGTACTCTGCTGGGTCCTGGCTGGGGTCTGCTCGGCCATACCTCATTTATGTTGAGATGGATGATGTCCTTATTCTTCATACTGAGAAACTGGAACACCCCTGGTGAGAGGGGAGAAAGCATCACATTGGAGGCAAGCCCCCTGGAAGGTTTAAGGATTCTTGGACCGCTGGGAAGTCTGTGGATAGCTGCTCCCTCTAGTGGAGACTAGATTCCCTGCCTGGCATGGTGGAGACAGTTCTGGCCTAAGTGACTTGGGAAGCCACTGTTTTCTCTGGACCCCAGGCTCCCACTCCAGAAGAGATACAGACAAATCTTGGTTAACAAGGAGGAGGAGGGCTGTCCCAGAGCAGAAAAGAGAGAGGAGAGATTCCATAAATTCAGTTCAGACCTGTTTGGATGCCAAGTCTACCAAGCAATGGTGACAACATTCTGTCGCTACACTGGACACTTCACTAGGGACTGGGTAATCCATGATGGTGAAGATTAGCTAAGATTTTTTTTTTCTATGGGTGTAAAATGTGTGGCAATTATAAAACCACAAGAATTGGGACATTTTTGTTTGAGCAGAAGGGACAAGATGACCGAGCTGCCCTGGACACATTTGGCTAACCTTCAGGGCTATTTGTAGGAGGAGAGTGTGACAATGAACCACCTCTTTAAAGTACCTGTACACATACCTTTTCGATTTCTGGTATAGCAGACCCTGCTTAAAATGGTTGAGTCTATATCTAGGGCTTTCAGAGGGACAGCAGGCAAGGGACAAAGACTTCTCCTTCTGTGTGCTATGAGGGAACTTGATCTGAAGTGGGACCTTTCCTCGGTAAGCAGCATGAGACCTGGCCCGCTCATAGCCCTTCACAGCCTGTAGATGTGTGATGAATGGTAGCCACAGGACAGAGTTTGCAGCAGTTCCGTCTGTCAGCTGATGGCAGGCACAGACCCCATGGTGGCCCTCTGCGTTCTAGATCTACCATATTTTTTCCAGGTTGTTTCTTATATTCTCACAGATGGGGACTGGAGACCCCGAGCTGGGCACTCTATGCCCCTGGGGATCCAGGGTCACTCCCAGCTCTCCTGTACACTTTAGGTTCCCCTGCACACTCACGGCTTGCATTCTCCAGCCGCACCATGCAGTTGAGGTAGTCATCAAAGTCCAGCTGGAGGCTCTCATCTGCATATCTGAGGATGATCAGCTGCAGGAGATGGCTACTCAGCTGGAAGCCTATGGAGAGACAGACTCACAACCTGCCATGGCTGAGCACCATGGTGAACCCACAGTTTTTTGGGAATTCAGAGCCACAAAAGTGAATTTATTCAACCTACAAAGCCTGCACGCATGTGTCCATGTGGATGGCCATGTGTGAGAGTATGAGTAGAGGACAGAGGTCAATGGTAGCTGTAATTCCTCAGGCCATCTTGTTTTATTTTTTGAAGCAAGGCCTCTTACTAGTTTGGAACTTGCCAAGTAGGCTGGGCTGGCTGGCCAGCAAACTTCAGGAATCCTCCTGTCTCCATCTCTCCAGTGCTAGGATTATAAATGCATGCCACCACACCTGACTTATCTTACATGGGCTCTGGGGATTGAACCCAGGTCCTTGTATCTAGTGTGGTCAGGACTTGATGGCTGATCCATCTGCCCAGTCCACTTAACTTAAAATCCAGGGTGTTGCAGTTATCTGCTAAGGGTGGTGCTACCCTCATTGAGGGGTATTGTATAGAAGCTCACTCCTCACATCATGCTAGAGAGTATGGCCCTGGAGGTGCCCTGGCTGCCACAGGATGTGGCTTCACTTCTCCAGCCTTCTTTCCCCCCATTCATCAGACAGATTGGATGAGCTGGAGTTCCAGCTGCATCTGATTTCATTGCTCTGCTTCCTAATCCAGGTGTGCCTGTTCACAGGAGCGTTTGGAAGTCCACTGGGGGTCTTCTCACTTACGCCTCCAGTTCCAGCAGAGGCAGAGGCTGGTCGGGCTCAGAGCATGTCTTTGGAGCTGCACACGATGCTTAGCTCATCCATTCCTAAACCCTGGCATCTCTTCCATAAGACCAAAGGAATAGATGAGCAGTTCTCCCCCATACCAATTTAGGACTGCAGAGATGCGGTTAAATCCTGTAGCTCCCTGTTCAGTTTATTCTGCCCAATAACGGGGTCGCAAGCCACTAAGAGAATCAGGCTCTGCCTCATGTTTATGACACATTTCGTTCTTCACAAAGAGCCCGAGGTGTCACACTCGGTTGTGCCTTCTGCTATGACCAGTTGCAAATGCCTGTTTAGCACATAACAAGGCAGAGCAATCATGCTTGCCACAGACAGCCCTGTTTAGGCTTTTGTTGTTGTTGCTTCTTTCCCCTATGTTTTCTCCCTGCACCTCCCTATTCCACCCAGCCTCCTTTCCTGTTCCTGCCACATGTCCAAATGACTGCCCCGTCCATCCTCATTTCTTTTTCCTCTCTCATGTTCTTTCCAGGTTCATAGCTTGCACTCACCCCCTCTTAAACCATGGAAATATCAGCTAGGACACACATCTGACTAGTGTTTCTTTACCTGCAGCTTTCAGTGCCGTCCGCAGCTCATAGGAAGACATGGTTCCAGATTTGTCCACATCGAACTGGAGAAACAGGCTCTGGGGCCAGGGAGTAGAGCATTGAGAGATCAGAGCCCAGGGGCCAGTGACAGCTGGTAGCTCCCGGGATGACAGCTGCTGTCTAGACAGTCAAGGTTGGACCAGGACCCACCCTCCATCCCTTCCTCCCTCCCTCCCTCCCTTCTCTTTCCTTCCTTCCTTTCACAGATTCATGTATCCCAGGATAGACTCCAAATCTCTATGTAGCAGAAAATGACCTTAAGCTTCTGATGCTTGTGGCTCCATTGCCTAAGTGTTGGGATTACAGATGTGCATCAAGATGACCAGATCCATGCTGGGAATCAAGCCCAGCGTTTCATGCATGCTAAGCACATACACTATCAGCTTAGCTAGACCCCAAGTCCCTAGGTCCTTTTCTCCTTTCTTCCTTTCCTCCTCCTTCTTGTGTGTGTGTGTGTGTGTGTGAGAGAGAGAGAGAGAGAGGGAGAGAGAGAGAGAGAGAGAGAGAGAGAGAGAGAGAGAGAGAGAGAGAGAGAGAGCTTCTCTGAGTAGCTCTGGCTGTCATGGAACTCATTTTGTAGACCAGCCAGGCTGGCCTCAAACTTGGAGATTCGCCTGCTTCTGTCTCCAGAGTGCTGGAATTAAAGGTGTGCACTGCCCTTGCTGGACTAGGCCTGCTTTTTTCAGTGCAGTGCTGAGGGTTAGGGTCTCACATGGCAGGCTCTACTCCCAGTCATGAGTCATCTCTTGCCTCCTTTCCTTTTGAGTGGAAGCACTGTGGTACCTCTTCCAGCAGCAGGATGCACTGTGATTCCCCGACTCCCTTCCCAACACTGTTCAGCCCATAGCCTAAGTCTTTGCCCCACTCTGCTGGGGTTCTGGGTCAGATCACATACCATCCAGTGCTTCAGCTTGTCCCAGAATACCCGGAACTCTTCAAACTCCAACTTCCCATTGCCACTTGTCTGGCCACCTGGGCTAAGGGTCTTTCAAATTAGGACCCTTTTGGGAACCCAGCTCTGGGATCACAGAAGGAGACCAGGGTTGTATGGCATGAATAACAGAGTTAGGGCCCTTAGGGGGTAACCTTACTGATGGGAACAGGGACTTCTGAAGAGGGGAACTAGCAGGTGAGATGGGATGGGCACTTGAATACTTACAATACAGGGGAGCAGAACCATTCTTCCCCAGAGCAGACCCCAGATCCCGTCAGAAACTCCCTCCCTACTGCATTGTCCCAACCCTCTGGATTCTGATCCAACCCAAGTCAGGCTGGCAAGGCCTCCTGTTTTATGAGCTGTGGTGCCTGTCCCAGGAGAGTGAGACTCTCAAGACACCACTTCTCAGAAGGACCAGTCTATGGAAAGGATACGTCCATCAGCGAGATGATGTTTCTGCAGGACAGCAGACTCAGCTTCTTGAACTTGAGGGCTGTTTCTGCAATCATACGGAAGTTGTGTGATCGATTGCCCTGACAAGACAAACTTACCCTCCTTTCTTCTAAGAGACCATCAGTGTACACAGATCAGGCTCCCTGGGACCATGATGTGGACACTGTCATAGGATGTTGAGAGTACGGGCTGTGTGGTGATATTTTGTTTATGATCTAACAAATAAAGCCTGCCTGAAAATCAGAGTGCAAAGCTAGCCATACTAGAGGACATAGAGGCCAGGCAGTGGTGGCACACACCTATAATCCCAGCAGCCACAATAGTTAGACATAGAAGCTGGACAGTGGTGGTGCACACCTTTAATCCTAGTACCAGAGAGGAATATAAGTCAGGTGGAAACAGGAGTGCAATCTGAGGAGCCTTGCAATCTGGACATGCAATCAGAGGACACAATCGCCCTTCAGCCTGAGCATTGGTAGAAGTGAGAACTTCTCTGGTCTTCTTTGGTCTTCGGCTTTAACTCAATATCCCTCTCTGGATTTTTATTATTCCTGCTATAGGACTTCTGGAAGAAATGTTTGCAGTCTGTGCAGAAAACTTTAGGGATGGGGCTGTTCTCACGCATTTACTTTAGCAGTAGAGAATCCTAAGATTTTTTACCCTCTGTCTGTTTATTAAAGATTTGTCTTCTTTTAATTTGAGGCCAGTCTAGGAATTTAGACAGACCCTGTCTCAAAAAATACAAATAAAGGCTAAGGAGATAGATGGTTCGGGCAATGAAGTGCTTGTCTTGTAAGCATGAAGATCTAAGTTCAAGTCTCCAGGACCCACATAAAAAGAATCAGAAGTACTGGCATGAACTTGTAACCCCAGCATTGGGGAGTGGGGTCCTGGAAGGCTCCCTGGCAGACCAGACTAGCTTACTTGCTGAGTCCCAGGTCAACAAGAGACTCTACCCAAACAAATAAAAACAGGAGGCAAATCTGAGGTTGTCCTCTGTCTCTACATGCAGGTGTACATATGACAACACACACACACACACACACACACACACACACGCGCGCGCGCACACACACATACACACACACCAGTATTCTAAGTGTAAGAATCCAGTAATGACCACATATTGTAAGATTCTTTTATATAAAATGTCCAGAATAGCAAGTCTGAGATAAAAAGTAAATGAGGGGTTATCAGGAGCTGGGGGAGGATAGAATAGGGAGTGACTGCTGTGGCAAAAATGTAACATAATGGACTTTGTATACACACGTGCAAACATAGGTACATATACACATGTAAAAACACATACATGTACACACAGCAAGATAACACACATGTATGCATATATACATGCATAGCAAGACAACAGAGACATATATACACACATGCACAGCATATTTGTATGCACATGTGCACACACGTTTGCAGAGCACAGACCACACACATGATGACAGTAGCTACTTAGGGTCATCAAGTGACCTGCTTTTTATCTTTGCCACTCGCTTTTCTGTAGAAAAGTCTATGGACACACTACCAGAAGCCAGCAGCACTTGTGCAGTTAGGAAGTAAGCAATGAGAAGAGCTTCTACAGACTGCATGCAGGTCAGCTGTATGCAGTCAGGCTCTACTCTTTAGAGCAGAGCCTGGCAGAGCCCTGACAGTGTGGCCACTCTTCCTCTCCAGGGAGCCTGTCCCCTGGAGGAATGACACTTACTCTTTTGCAGAACAGCATTTAAAACATACTCAAGCTCCTCAGCTGTCACCTCCATGTCCTGTGGGGTAGAGACAATTGTTCTTTTTGGTCCTTAGCAATTATAAGCCTAGCTTGGCTCTTTGGAGAGATGGCCCTGAGGACACTGTGCTGGGAGCTGAGTTCACCTCTGTGGTAGCTGCAGCCCACTGGTTTCTCAGGGAAGGGAGACTGCCCCAGGAGAGACAGCAGCCTGGAAAGACTCAGGGAAGGGTGAGGCATGCTGCCACTCCCCTGAGGATGCAAGATTTTCTGCAAAGGCTTCAAAAGGCCGCCAGAAACTTGAAAGGGTCAGAAGGTGTTTGGAGAGCCAGTAGGTCCTCGTACCTTCTCACAGGAGTACCCCAAGAACCGGAAACACTTCATGTATTGGGATCTCATCTGCTATTCAAGACAGAAGACCTAGAACTCAGTTCACTGGTTAATATAAAACCTCTAGGGGTGAATCCTGGAATCCTCAGTGTAACAAATCCACTAGCCCCAGCATCCACAAATCAAAAGCTGGTGAGAGATACTCAGGCATTGCCAGAGCCATGGAAGGGAGTCTGCAGTTCTAGGATGCCCAGACATTTTAAAAGAAATTTTATTGTAGTGTGTGTGTGTGTGTGTGTGTGTGTGTGTGTGTGTGTGTGTGTGTGTGTATTAGCATGTATGTGTGTGGAGGTCAGAGAACAACTTTATGGGGCTGTTTTTCTCCTGCCACCTTTACCTCAGTTCTGGGGATCAAAATCAGGCTATCAGGCTTGCATGGCCAAGTGCTTATACTTGCTAAACCATCTTCCCAGATCTTGTGTAATGTTTTGTTTGTTTGTTTTTTGGTTTCTTTTTTTTTTTTTTTTGAGACATGGTCTTACTCTGTAGCCCAGGTTGGCCTGAAAATCATTCTGCCTCAGCTTCCCTAGTGCTTGCATGCCAGGCACCAATCACCGCATTTGTCTACGTATGTGGTTTTTACACACATGGAGGTCTGTCTAGCTTCTCAATACATCTGGGTGCTATACTAACCCATGTGAACATAGTCACTGTTGACATTATTTTAACATATTCCAGTTGGCTCTGCCCTGAAGCTTTATGGCCTGGGGAGTGTGTTTTTGGGATGCCCAGCTCTAGGAAGAAAGTAAATTACAGTACATGGTTACCCTGGCCAGGGGAAATAGACATGGAGCTACACCCAGCCAGCCAGTTGGATGGAGAGAGGTAGAACTTCACTGTCTGGGTTTTTTTTTTTATTGTTTCTAATGAAGGTTGAGTGAATGTTCCTGCATGATTGCCCATTTCCTTCCAAATGCTGCACCTCTCCCTCAGTGACTTCTGTCCTTGCCTCATGCACCTGCTCAAGGGCTTGCAGCGATCATGATGTGGACCAGCCTATCACCTCTGGAATCTTTAGATCATTTGACTCTGGAACTTTGCCCCCCTCACCCTGTATCATCCTCTTCCTGGGTCTGGAGAGGGTTGGCTGCATGTGACTCCATTTCTCTCCAGAGTCCCCTGCTCCATTTGTTTAAGGATATGCAAAGCCACCAGCCAATATTGTTCTCCAAGTGTGAGATCACTCCTCCAGGCTGCCCCTTTCCATCCAGGAGCCACAGGCAGGAGAAGGGAGCGAGGTAATACAGTTAGTAGTGTCTGACATGAGCTAATTCATCAGGCTCCTTACATTATGGTCCCCAATGAGGCAGGAACCAGCAGTATCGTGAGGTTTCATCTCATTCCCCAGAATTTCCAGGGCTCCCCAGAAGGAAGCAGAGCAGAGCAGAGATGGGAATGAGCTGGAACACCAAGGACCCTAACCTTAACCCTATCCCTAACCTATTGCTGGTCAACAGAGGTGCATTGATTTGACACTGTTAACAAGCTGGGACTTAGGCTTTACTTTGCAACTAGCCCAGAGGGGCTTGGAGAGGTGCTGTTGACAAGTCCATGAACACAGTCCTCTGCTGCGAACCCAAAGCAGGCTTAGCCAAGGTCAGGGTGGAGGTAGGAGGGGACCAAGTCAGATGCATCCTACCTCGCCAGCGATTCGCTTGAACAGGGCCCGGAACTGTTGCTCCTGCTCCGTTTCCTCCTCCTGTGGAGTTGGCTTTGAGGGCTGAAAGAACCAAATGAGGTTGTGTAAAGGGCTCACAGAAGAGAAACCCGACACATGCTTTCTCACACGAATAGCAGAAAAGAAGAGCCCCACACTGGACAGACAGTACGCTGTCCCTGGAGGAACAGTCAGTAGAGCTCTTCCCTAGCACGCGGGAGACCCTGGGTCCAGTCCCCACACAACAAAAGAATGGGAAGTGCACAGCACAGAACACAGCTGTCAGCATCCAGCTGATCCAGAGAGTTTCACATGGGAGGCAGAGCAGGGGGCCTTCCCAGTCACATGGCCAGAGCTGTCGTGTTGGGTTCATCCTGCATCTCCTGATTTCTCAAAGCTAGATGAACAACTTGGTTTCATCTCAGGAACATGAACTTCAGCTTGAGTGACCCCGTTTTAGTTGGCCAGAGTAGGAGCTCTGTCTGTACTCACAGAGAGTTCCCTAAGTTTCACTTAGTGGGAATTAGAAGGGTAAGGGTGTCTGGGCTTGACTGGCAGCTTGACACAGAGTTGCCATGCTACAACCTCATCCCTGATTCATTATCTGTCTCGACAATCACCTTCCAAGAGTCTGTAACCAGCACCCAGAGAGGGCAGATGGATCAGTACACTTTAGGGGTTTTGCTTTTCTGTAGATTTTGGCTCATTTGTCAACTGCAGCCCTAGGGGGCAGCACAGAGCAGCAATCATTCCCCCAAAGCAGGTTTCGGCTGCTGGTGGGCATTCTGTTTCAGAAGAACTTGGTGAGTCTCCCCCGACCGCTCATATAGCCAATATTTATTAAACAGCTCTGGATTTCATGGCATTTTGACTCAAGCATACTAAGTACTTTGACCCTATTAATTCCTCCATTAGCCTCTCCAGCTCTCCCTGCTAGAGCCCTTCCTCTTTCTGGTTAGCCCCCTTCTACATATATGTGACACATAGGCATAGGCACGTGTGTAGATAGTTCTTAAGCAGTCCTAACAATCTCACATTGAGGACTGTATTCTCCAAACCAACCGGCCTCTGTCTTCTTTTCTTGTCTTCCTCTTCTCTTCCTCCCTCCCTCTCTCCTTCACTCCCCCGCCCTTTCTTCCTTCTTCTTCTCTTCCCTTCCTCCTTCATTCTTTCCTCCTCTTCCTTTCCTCTATCCTTTCATCCTTCCTCCCTTCCTCTCTCCTTCCTTCCTTTTTTCCTTCCTTCCTTTTCTTTTTTGTGTGTTTATTTTGAGATGGGGCCTTATATATATCCCTGGAAGGTCTTAGGTTTACCAGGTAGCCAAGACTGGCCTCCTGTCCCTACCTCTAAAGTGCTGGAATCATGAGTGTATCTTCTTAAATACATTTGAAATCATTTGGCTTCCTTCACATTTAGCAGAGGTCTCTCAGGAGATGAGGAAGCCCAAAGGAAGATGGCACCTGAGAGAACTTTATCCCAAGCACCCCAGGGCTCCTGCCTAGTCCCCTGGGCAGTGAGGGATGAGAAACAAAAGCTCTGGCCTCTGAGATAGAACCAGCCAGGTTGCTTACCTTGCTACAAGCAGGCAGCTCCTGAATTTGAATTTTAGAGGAACTGTGGTTTGAAAGAAGAGCTCTAGAACCTTCAGCTGAACCCCATCTTCCACAGCCACACTAGAGGACTCACCTCAGGGAGATCAATGTCTGTGTTCTCATCCAGGTCCCTGCAGTGGCAGAAAGCACACCACCTCAGTTGTGGACATGCATTCCATGGGACTAGAGCTATGGAGAGGTCCTGACCTGTCAGAGCCCTCTTGTTCAGTGTTATTTGTTTCTCAGGGGGTTGGCAACCCCTCCCTGCACCAACACCCCATCCCCAGTCATTCATCCCTGCCCAGTGTGCCAGAGAGGAAACTGGTAGGATCCTAATCCAAGGACAGCTTACAATCCCGAGAACATGACAACAAGAGCTATAACAGCATCTCCTGCCTTCCAGATGCACTCCAAAGAGAGTTCTTGAAGTGATCTTGGTTCCTCCAAATATCCATAAGCTCTGCCTCCAGAGGAGATGTACATTGTCAAAGACCAGACACTTGGCCTGCTCAGATTGTTCCTTCTTGGATGGGCTCTGAATTTCACAGAAAGGAGAAAGCCTGCTGAGCTGCAGCATCCAGCATCCATCTCTCTCTGCTTGCTGACTGGACATGCAATGTGCACAGCTTCTTTGAGCTCCTGGGCTCCTCCACTAACATGGAAAAAATGTGCCTAGAATTGTGAGCTAAAAATTAAACCTTAAATTGCTCTTGCCAGGGCATTTAATCACAGGAATAGGAAGAATAAGCAAGACACTGTTCCCTCCCTCATCATTCCCTGAACACACATGGCATTATCCCCCCGGAAATGCCGAAGGCTAGGGCCCTCCCCGAAAGCCACAAAACAGACAGAGCCTGCTATATCCCCTGTGATGAGAACACAGTGCTGACTTGGGTTCTGCATCATAGTGGGGCCTCAGGCTCAACTTTCAGTCTTCTTAGGGGATAGAAAGCAAAAACTTGGGTCTGGTGTCACCTGGCTCTGTCCTGTACTGGCCACTCACAGGGTATGGTCATCTTGGGCTTGTAAAGGTGTTAAACAGGAATGGAGGCTGAGAAACCCATCCAGGAGAATACTGGAGAAATGTGAAGACTTCATTGTTCCTCTTTGGCTGAGAAAAATGATTGTGCCTTTGTCCTCCACTGAGAACCCCAGCCACATTTTGGAACCGGGACCCTCTCATTGTATACTGCCAGTCCCATTCTGTCTTACTATACAGAAGGTAGACTGGAATGATGAGCCCACAGCCATCTCTCTTGATTTATCTGTGCATGTTGGTCCCTTTTGGGGCCTTATCTGAAATTCTCTAGATCAGTGGTTTTCAACCTTCCTAATGCTGTGACCCTCTAATATACTGTTTGTTCCTCATGTTTGGGACCCCCAATCATAAAATTGCTTTCCTTGCCACTTCATAACTGTAATTTTGCTAGTGTTATGAGTTGTAATGTAAATACTGGATACACAGGATGTCTAATATGTGACTCCTATGAAATGGTCATTCAACCTCAAAGGGGTCGCGACCCACAGGTTGAGAACCACTGCAATGGTCTCCCCCTAGATTTGGAAATGAGTTCTTCCACTGCCACAAACACAGTCACTGATGGTGAATGACAGCAGTGAAAAATGTTAGCAACAGTAGGAACGAATTTAAAAGACCTCTTGAAAGACCAGCCACTTGGCCTGCTCAGATTGTTCCTTCTTGGATGGGCACAGACAGGGCACGAGGTGGCAGTGTGAAATGGTTCACACTCACTGGTGGGTGTTAAAACTGGAGCTGAAAGATGGTGTGATTCTGGAAACTTCTAATAGTCACCTTCACCATCCTTAAATAAGCCCCCTCCCCCACTCTAGAAGCTTCTTGGGGATTGGGGCTGAGTGGCTATCCCCAAAAGGCCTGGTAATCACGACTCCAGGAGCAGGTGAGTCATCCATCACTGGTGTGCTTCAGAAGGGATCTGTAGCTAGAGGGATGCAAGTTGCTTTGTACCTATCACTTCCTGAGCAGGTGATGGGAGGGGAAAATGGGGATCTAGCTCTGCTAGATGTCTCCCTGGTGGCCCTGAAGTACAGCACACACTCAGGGAAGGCTCTGCTCACTCCTCACCGAGTAACTGCTCTCTTCTCAGAGAAGATTCTCAGGCAGAAGTCAGCCTCCTGGTGTGGCTCAAAGGTGCTGGGAATGAGGACGTAGTCTCCCGGGGGCAGCTGAAATCGGTCTGAGACTTCTCTCAAGTTGATGAATGTCTTGCTTCGTGCCAGGGAGGCATGGTACCTGAAAAAGTCTCTACTCAGGTGTCCATCCTTGTCCTGGTCCTTGTCTGGGCACTGCAAGGAAAAGGAGAGGTCATCAGAGAAACATGACTCTGGTCTTCATACTCAGTTGGAGAATTGGCTATTGATCATGGCACAGAGTCCAGAAGCAACAGGGAACTCAAAACCCTTGCAGGGACACCAAAAGCAGCTGGCCCCTACCTGGTAAATGGCATAGCCAATGGTCAGCATGTTGGCACCAAACCTCTTGAGCTTCCTGCGGTCTTTCTGCATCAAGGCTGCTAGAAAAGTGCAGCCATCCTGGCCCTCATCTTTCTCAGTCAGGGACAGCTTTATCTGTGGGTTGGTCCAGAAGGTGTCTGTATTTGAAAGGGGGGTGGATTATTATCCCTTCCTTAAAAATGCAAAATCATAGTTCAGATGACAACGTGCTTGCTGAGCAGGCACCCTGGTGACTTGAGTTCTATGTGCCAGAACCTACCCCTGCCAAAACCAAAATAAATAACAAACAAAAAGCTCGGCAGGATGGCTCAGTGGATAAAGGCATTTTCCGTAAAAGTTGATGACCTGAGATCCACAAGACAGAGGGAAGAAGCCCACTCCCAGAAGCTGTCCTCTAACCTCCACTGGTGTCCCATGGAGTGCACATATATGCACATGAGTGTGCGCACACACACACACACACACACACACACACACACACACACTAAATAAATGTGATAAATGAAAACACAAGATAGGTAAAGTGCATGAATTTAGTGCTGGGGATGTGGAGCCAGGTAGATCGTGGCACTCACTGGCTACTTGATGAGCTGCCCAGTGAGAGACCCTGTATCAAAAACAAGGCAGTAACTTTGAGGAGTGACAGCTAAGGTTGTCTCTTGTCTCTAAACTTACAGGAACACACAGAAAGAAGTACAAAATAAAAATAAAAACTTGACACATGGGTTTACACACATGAGCACACATAACACTACATAAAGAAAAAAAATTACAAAACCCACACTACAAAGGACACATGTACTCTCTACTGCACCCCCGCTGCTAGTTTGTAACCCTGAAAAGGTGGTCTCTTCTCTCTCTGTTCCCATTAGCCCTCTCACCCACCTTTCTTTATCCTCAGCAATACTCTAAACTTTGGGCTTCCACTTCCTCCACCTTCCAGCCATTGTCCTCATAGCCCTGAAAAGCTGTGATGCCTGCCCCACTTCCCCGTTGGGCAGTAGGTCCTTTCCCCTACTAACCTGGCGTGACTTGCAGTTGCGTCATCTGAACCTTACAACAGGGCATTTCCCTTAGTCTCTCTGGCCAGCTTCCGCCTAAGGTTCAGCTGTCATCCCCTGAGCTTGAGCTTGCTGTCCAGCTCTGCACAGACTGCCCCTTCCATGTCCCCAGATAGATTGGCTATGGGAATAGGACACAGAAGCACAGACAGGCCACCTACCCAGGAAGTTGCGGCAGCCACCAGCTGTGGAGCCACGAACCCAGCTTCCTTGGTGGATGGTCACCTCCCACCTATGGAGGGCATTGTCCTCCAGGGCATCAGGTGTGAGGTTGCAGATCTCCACTTTGTCAAAATGGACCTTGAAGTCCTCGAATTCCATCCTGAGACAGAGGGGAGAATGCATCATCAGAACATCATCGTGATGTCAACCCTCTTCCTGGGGAGGGGAGTCACCGGGGTCTCTCCCAGAAGGAGGGAGTCAGGGAAAAAGAGGGAAGAGGGAAGGGGATGAGGAAGGAAAGGGAGAAAGGAGAGTGGTTGTTGGATACATAAGCCCTGACTTCAAGCAAAAATGCAAAGGATGATTTTACCAAAACTCCCCGTCATCAAGAGCAGAGTGAGCCAGGCGCTTCTGTTCCTCCAGGTTCACAGAGTGCCACTCGAGAGAGCTGAAAGATCAGAGTCACACTCAGCCTGGGAGTAGGGCTGCTTCCCTGGAGTCACACCAAACCAGATATGCATAATGTAGGGATTATATTCTGGTTAGTGAGTCTCGCTGGGCCCAGGGACATGAGGCCAGCTCTCCGCTGGCTCCAGCATGACAGTAGCTAGAAAGTGAACTTTCAAGTGTTGTTGGAAGACAGTGCCTTCACAGGTCATTATGGAACAAACACAAGGAACTGAACACAGCAGCCCAGTTGGAGGTCACAGGTCATGCATGTCCCTAACTTATAGTTTGCCTGTGGTATGTGCCAGGCCAAAGCCCTTCTGGTTTATAAATTGATACTTGGGTAGTGCTTCTAACTCTTGTGGTTGCCATTTGAAATACTAAGTGTCTCGTTTATGCTACCAGGAGCTCAGGAAGGGTCTGCTGTGGGTGAGTCCAACCTTAGGTCCCAACCTGAAGGCTCAAGTAGACCTAGAACTCATTCTCAGGAAGAGCTATCAAAGAGAGCTATCAAGGAGATATGCTGACACCCTTGCAGGCTCAAACTTGATGTGGTGGTCTCAATGTTGTGTGTGTTGTGATTTCCTCATTGCCTTCTAACCCAGCAGTCTCCCTAGCCCTGGGTAGGTCCTAGGATCCCCAGGGGATACTAAATACATTAGAATAGACAGAGTCCTATACATGTTTTCTTATATATACACAGATGGTGACATTTGGTTTATAAACAGACACAAGAAGAGTTTAACAGCAACGTCTAATACTAAAGTAGGACAATCAGATAAACATAGTGTATCAAAACTTGTGTGATGTCTTACCTATTATCTATCTACTTTCCAATCTATTATCTATCATCTGTCTCATTCATCATATCATTTACTTATCATCTGTTCATCCTACATTTGCACATCACCCACCCATCCATCATATACCCATCCATTAATTCATCATCTATCTACTTATCTACCTATTATCTATTCATCCATCATATATACACTCACTCTTCATCATCTATCTATTCATCCATTAATTTATCTACCTAGCCACCTATTACCCATATGCACCCATCAGTTTACCATCTCTCCATCTACTAATCCGTCATCTAGCTATTCATTCATACACCTACACATCCATCTGTCATCTATAGTCAATTTTAACCCATAATCTATCAATCTGTCCATCATCTCCATCATCTATACATCCATCTATGATCTATGCATTCATACACTAATGTATCCATCCATCCATCATCCATCCATTATCTACATATAAGTTTATCATCCATTCTCCCATTACCTATCCATCTATCCATTCATCTATCCATCCATCCATCCATCCACCCACCCATCCATATCTATTACTCTAATAATCCCGTAGATCTTAGAAACCCTAACACATTTTTTTCTTTCTTAATTAAGCTGAGCACTTTTATAATTTCTCTTGAAGGGTGCGTTTTCTGATTTCTATGACCTGCCATTGTCTTAATTAGGGGTTATCATAATAAGGTTACTTGAACACACACACTGCAATAGTCCACAACACAGTGGTTTATATAGTATAGAATTCATCACACCACTAGGAATGATGTGACAGTAACATTATTCTAAACAGCTAATACTTATTTCTAGAACCTTCCATATGATATCATATTTTCAATTGAAACTGTGGGTGGTGAAATCTCTGGTAAAGGGGGTTGTTGTCATTTAAATCTCTTCACTTCTGCTGTGGTGCTGTGACTGTGTGGAGGTATATTTTGTGTCCAGTTAGACAGGGCTCATGGCATCCAGGGAGGTCTCCAACAGGAGAGAAGAGAGAACTAAGGGTCTTTAATGACTCACTGAGTCATTTTCTTCTAAGTGGGTCACATCCAATGAAGGGCAGCTAAGCAATGCCTTTGATGGGTAGTGTTGGACATCAAGGGGCTAGAATGGCCACAGCACCTGGAAGCTTTGTAGGCAGACAGCCTCTGTCAGTCTCAAACTGTATTTGTTTCTCCTTTAGCCCGAGTTTCAGAAGGGGAAAACAGTCTGCTTCTGTAGACATAGGATACAAAGGGCTACAACATGGTGCCCTCAAAATAATTTTAGTTTTAATGTCCATCTTAGGTTTCACTCAGTCTCAGTTCTTCCCATTTCCATCAGCAGAGGGAGGGCCAATCTTGCTCTTCCTTTGCTGCCCTTGTCTGAATCCTTCCTACCCAGTCTCCTTGAGATCTGAGAAGGGCAAATGTGGCCCAGCAGGACAAGAGCCTGGCTGGGGTGTGGAGAGACATCAGCTTCTCACTTCCTAGTTACCTGTGTCACCATCCAAAGGACAGGTGGGGACAGCCTGGAAAGCTCGCCTTTCCAAATTATTAGAGCCTAGTAATGGGCCAATTTCCTGTGCTACTTCCATTTCTCTGTGGGACCGTGGGCTTTAGCCAATGATCAATAACTACCAGAAAGAGCCTTAGAGTGACCTGACCTGTCTGGCAGTGTTTCAGCGATTCCCAGACTCAAAATACTCATCCACACCCACCCACCTTCGCATGAACGCACACACTCACTCGTAACTGGAGTCAAAGTCCTTCCTGACACCCCAGTGGCAGTGACTATCCGTAAATATGATTACGTGGCAGTGGAAGAGAGAGGTATCCTAGAGCTGTTTATCCAGGATCAAGTTTAACAGAGGTATTCTAAGTAAGGTTTGAAGGGAAGAAACAGGGAGTTCCGGACAAACCAGTGCCTCACAGGTCTGCATAGGTCATCCTGGCTACACATGGAGCTGGCCCTAGAGAAGGGAGGGAGCCACTCACCTGTCACTCCACCGTCCCGTCCACTCCACCTGGCCCCAAGGATTTCGGACTCTGATGAGCTTAGTTTTCTGGCCTTGGAAATTAACCTCAAAGGAAAAATCATCAAGGAAACATGATGCAATGAGCCTGAAGTTGGCTTTAGCCATCCATGAGACCTGGGTCCGTTTCTATGGATGACTGCATTAGTCAAGCTCCTGAGGGAAACACACTGATGATGTGCTACACAAACTGGTGCTCGTGCCCATTCACTCCTTGTTTTTCTGGGATGGGTTTCGCTATATACTGACCTCAGATTTTCCATACCCCTGTCTCAGCTTCCTAAGTACTGGGATTATAAGCCTGCACCCCCAGCCCTGGTGAGAAATGTTCTTTTGAGACAGTCTCACCAGGTACCCGGACTCATCTCAGTCTTGTTGTGTAACTCAGGCTGGCATCATGGGTGCTGGGGCTGCCAATGTGCAGTGCTACCCCAAGATGACTCATCCATTTGTTTTCCATTTTACTTTATTCTTGGTGTGTGTGTGTGTGTGTGTGTGTGTGTGTGTGTGTGTGTGTGTGCACAGGAGTACCACAGTGCATACATATGTGAAGGTCAGAGGGCAACTCTTGAGAGTTGCTTTTCTCCTTCCACCATGTGAGCTGGCAGCTGAACTCACCTTCTCAACTTGTTATGTTTGTATTGCACATGCTTTTATTTGCTAAGCCATTTCACTGGCCCTGACTCATCCATCCATTCTTTTTGTTTGTTTGTTTGTTTTGAGTCAGGGTTTCTCTGTGTAGCCTTGGCTGTCCTAGAACTTGCTCTGTAGAATAGACTGGCCTTGAATGCTGGTCTTGAACTCAGAGATCCACATGCCTCTGCCTCCTGATTTCTGGGACTAAAGGTGTGTGCCACCACTGGGTAGATGGATTTCACTTTCATTTAAACATGTACTAGCATTTTTCTTTATTGTTTTTTTCTTTAAACTTTTCTTAATGATTTGTTTATTTTTATTTTATGTGCATTGGTATTTTGTCTGTGTGTATGGCATGTATGTCTGTGTGAGGATATTGGATCCTCTGGAAATTGGAGTTACATACCCTTGTGAGCTGCCATGTGGGTGCTAGGAATTGAGCCTAGGCCCTCTGGAAGAACAGCCAGTGCTCTTAACCACTGATCCATTTTCCTAGCCCTGACTCATTCATTCTTTATGAGCCCATGGAACTTTCTTTCTGAAAAGAATACTGAACCATCCTTTGTACATTGGTCATGCCACATCTGGGAAGTGAATCTAGTTAATAGGACAGTGGTCCATCTCCACATGAATGAGTTTTCCATTAGGCTATGGTCCCCAAAGGTTCCAGGTCCCATATGTGTGTTCCTTTAGTATTTGCTCAGGAAATGATGCATAGCAGTGCTCAGAAGTTCATGGAGTTACTCCATGATTCCAGTGTTCGATGACTGTGTGCCGGGAGTTTAATTAGACTATAACCCTATGTGCTAGGAGTTTAAGCAGCAACAACAAATGAAGAATTCTGCATTTCACATTCAGCCTTCTCCAGCTATGGTCAAGAGAAGAAGAGTCTTGGTGTTGCCTTGGGTAGGCCTGAGCCAGTAGGAGGCAAACCATTCCTGAGGTCTTGGTAGGAAAGGGAGACTCTGAGAAAGTATTTAGAGGTTAGGAGGTGTCAACTAACCAGAAATCTTAGCTATCAGTTTATTGTTACATGCTGAATGAGAGTTGTATTTTGACATGTGATGACAATTCAAATAAACTGGAGAGGTGGCTCAGTTAGTAGAGCTTACTTAGCATGCATGAAACCCTGAGTTTGATCCCTAGCACCACATAAACCAGGTGTGGTGGCATATGCCTGTAGTCTCATAATTTCAACACTCAGGTGGTAGAAGCAGGTGATTAAAACTTCAAGGCCAGCCTTGATTGTATAACAAGTTCAAGGCCAGCCTAGGGTACATGAGCTTCTATTTCAGACAAGGCAAAACAAAACAATTCAAGCCTCAGTGTTTAGGAGCTCACAGCTCTGTAATCATATAAGTCAACTCTTGTATTTTACATTCAGAAATGAGCAAGCACCTTGCCCATGGGAAAAAATGCAGAAGCAAGTGAACCAGAGTGAGGAGAAGTCACTAGGCTGAGAATTTCTGGAAGATCCAGCTTAAAATCTACTTGCCTACTCAAGACAGCAGGTGTCTCAGCATGTGTGATGGGAACTATGGTGGTTTGAAAGAAAATAGCTCCCATAGAGAGTGGCACTATTAGGAGGTGTGGTTTTGCTGGAGTAGGTGTGACCTTGTTGGAGGAAGTGTGTCACTGTGAGGGTGGGCTGTAAGGTCTCCTATGATCAAGCTGTGCCCAGTCTCCGTTCACTTCCTGTTGCCTGCAGATCAAGATGTAGAACTCTCAGCTCTTTCTCCAGCACCATGTCTGCATGCATGCTGCCATGATGATAATAGACTAAATCTCTGAAACTGTAAGCCAGTCCCAATTAAATGTTTTTGTTATAAGAATTGCTGTGGTCCTGGTGTCTCCTCACAACAATAGAAACCCTCACTAAGACAGAAACAGACCAAGACAGTGACTAACATCCCGAAGAAGCCCAGAGTCCACCCCTATATTTCACAGGGGCTGCAGTGTATTGGAGTGTTTATGTGTTCTCTTCCACACTCTGCTCCTAGAACATTTAGTATGTACTACTCAAAACACTGCAGAGAGAAGAGGCTGCTGGTGCCATGGCCTCTATAGACAAGGCTGGACACCCATCCAGAGGGGGGTTGGGGCAAAGGAGGCGTCTGGGGCTTTGCTGGACTTGACCTGAAGGTTGGAGCTTCCAGTTTCTTGTCTTCTGCCTTAACCCAGTCTCTCCTCTCTTCTCCATATATCCAAGAGCCTCTCCCCTAAGACAGCCACTTCCTAGAACTGAGGTGTGCTGTGTGGAGTCTAGGTGTCTGAGGGCCAGTTACACACTAGACTACCAAGGATTCAAGGTGGTCAATTTCATGTGTCAACTTGACTGGGTCATGGGGCACCCAGATATTTGGTTTAAGGAGAGTGTGCTTGTGTCTCTGGCTTTTATGTGAAAGACTAAATTTTAATTGGAAGGCTTAGCAAACAGTCTGTACCTGAAGAGCAGAGAAGAGTAAACTAAAAGCCAAGGAAGGAGGCCTCTCTGTCTGTGCTGCCTGCTGGAGCTGGAGCATGACTCTCCTTGCCTCAGAACCAGGAACCACACTGCTGGTTTTCCCTCAGTCTTAGTCCACTGTGAGGCCAGGGGTGTTCCCGCAGTCTTCCAGCCACAGGAGACAAGTCAGAGTGGTTTTCATACTTATACAGGCTTATCCCTATATATTCATATCATAATTGCACATGAGTGTGTATAATTACAAATTCCCACACATGTGCATGTGTTTGTTATATAAAATGAGTATGCATGTGCGTCACACATAACAAACACAAATATGGGCAAATATGTATAACCTGCATACATATGTACACACATAATGAATATGTATGTCAACACACAAATATAACATATATATGTATACATAATGAGTGTGTATGTGTATGTATGTATATATGTTTATTAATTTGTTCTTATAATCTCTGTATATCTCTGAAAAACCCTGGCTGTATAGGACTGTTGCAGAATTGGCAAATAATTAATTTACAAGCACAAAATCTAGCCAGGCAGTGGTAGTTCACACCTTTAAGCAGAGGCCAGCTTAGTTTATAGAGTGACTTCCAGAATAGCCAAGGCTGTTACACAGAGAAACCTGTCTTGAAAAACAGACAAAATAAACAAACAAAAATCCCATAAAATCTAAGGTAGACCAACTGCAATTCCCAAAACATGAGTTTGGTGCATGGGTCACCTGCCTCCTCTCTGGGTCCTGTCTGCTGTTTCTCATCCCAGCCGGCTTGCTCTCTGCTGCACAACATATCTAAAGACCAGGGTTGTCCTGTTCCTCAACCTCGGTCCCCTACAGTGGGCCCCACCTCTACCTGGTCGAGCCCAGTCACAGTGTAGGCATGGCCCTTAATGAGACCAAAAGGTGTGCGGGCTTCAGAATCGGAGGCATTCAGGATCTAGAATAGAAGAAGACACATCCTTTAAGCCAGCTTCCCTCTGCATCAGCACTATGCCTAGCTCACACATCCCAGCCCTCAATTACACAATGGCAGCTATATTTATAGGCCTTAGAAATTGGGGGTATAGGACCTCCTAATAGGTTCATCAGTGATACACAGCAAGATCAAACTCTTCGGGGGGGATCCCCTTCCATTAAAATGGGTTTACTTTTCTGTCCCCAAATAGACAGTAGCCACACCAGTCATAGATTAGTGAATGGCATCCACAGTCATGCAGAGAGGAGGCCTATTCTGGTGACGTGTGATTTGATCATAAAACATGACCTTGTAGGAGAAGTAAATAATTTGTTTACAAAAGTAGATCTTTATAGTTAACCCAAAAAGAAGGGGGAAAACTTGAATAAATTTCAAAAACAGACGGTATAAAATTATACCTGTATATGTATCCTATGCATAGAGGAATTAGAAAAATGCTATTAGCCTTCTATCTGGTATCTTTGTTTTGTATGGTGTAGAAAGTAAAAGGAAAACATTTCAGAAAAGCACACCGGAGGGTTCCCTTCAGTGACAGGAAGTCAGCCTTCCACTGCTGATGTGCAGTGGCAGCTTGGTGTGGAGGACAGCCAGCACCCTGGTGGATGTGGTGCTGGGGAAACAGCCCTGGACATGATGGGAGAGACAGACAACTGTGCTTTCAGACCTCACGGGATGCTCCGCTTGGCAGCAGGTGTATTTATTTGCCTTTGCAACCCAACAAGCATTAAATGAAAGCTTGTGCTTGTTTGTTTGAGACAGTCTCATGCATCCCAGCCTGTGTTCAGGTTATGTAGTGGAAGATGACTTTGAATTTCTGACCTTCCCACCACCATTTCCTGAATGCTGGAAGTTATAGATATGTTTCATCAGCCTGTTTTATATAATGCTGGGGATGGGCCCCAGGGCCACCTGCAAGCTAGGCAAGTGCTCTACCAACTGTTTTAGTTAAAGATGACTGCCTTCCAGATACTCAAGTCCCTTCTGGGTTGCCGCTTCTGTCTGTTGATGCTTAGATGGCCAGCCAGCCACTTACATCTATGGAGCATCCCAGCAAGGAACCCCGCCTCAAGGCCTTCTCCAGAATATCATAGAAGTCCTCTGGCGCTTCTCGGATTTGGAAGGTCTCGGCCACACCCCCAGTGAAGTCTTCCATGGCTTCCATGGTGCTGCCTCCCTTCAGTGCCTCGTAACTTCCATTAAGCCTGCAAAGATGGGAGAGCAGATTGGTTGAAGGGGTGGAGGGACAGGAAAAGGGTTTGCTCAGCCCACAGAGCACAAGCCGGACTCTGGGAGGAAAAGCAGTGGTTGGCAGTGGGGAAGGCCCTGGGTACCAGACTCCTATCATCTTCCTGGTGATATATTTCAACTGCTCAGCTTTTGTTGTTTGTTTGTTTTGGTCTCCTGCCTTAGCCTCCAAAGTGCTAAGATTTGTAGTTGGAATTTTCTTTGGGTCACCAACCAGCTCCCAAATAAAGACATGGAGACTTATTATTAATTATGAATGCTCGGCCTTAGCTTAGCTTGTCCCACTAGCTCTTTTAACTTAATTTAACTTGTTTCTATTCATCTACACTTTGCTTCAGAGCTTTTTACCTTTCTTTCATTCTGTATGTCCTACTTTCCTGTTTTCTCTGTGTTTGTCTGTCTGGCCCCTGATGTCTCTCTCCCTGGCACCTCTTTTCTTTCTTCCCTGAGCCTAAATTTTTCCTCCTACTTACTCTCCCTGCCTGGAAGTCCTGCCTATATCTCCTCCCTTACTATTAGTAGTTCAGCTTTTTGTTTGTTTTTCAAGGCAGGGTTTCTCTGTGTAGTCATGGCTGTCCTAGAATTCATTTGTAAACCAGGCTAGCCTCAAACTCACAGAGATCTACCTGCCTCTGCCTCCTGAGTGCTGGGACTAAAGGTGTGCACCACCACCACCCAGCAACAGTTTCACTTTTTATTAGACTAATCAGGTGCCTTAGGCAGGCAAGGTAAAACAGCAACACATCTGCTGTAAAAATGCAGCACATGTTTGCAGAGTTAAATGAAATTCCACAATTATTTTTATTGATGTTTTTTGAGACAGGCTCTGATTCCATAGACCAAGTGGACCTCAAACTCAGCAATTTTTCTGTCTCAAATTCTCCAGTTCTAGGAGTGTAAGAGTAAGTTACTATGCTCAACTTGTAACTGAAAAAAAAAATTAAAGTACAGCACTGCTATATAGCCCTGGCCAGCTTGAAACTTGCTATGTAGGCTAGGTTGGGCTCAAGCGTATAGTAATCCTCCTGCCTCAGATTCTCCAGAGCTGGGGTTAAAGGTAGTTATCACCATGCCTAGCTTCTTGTTGAGATTTTTGGGCCATGAATATATGTGAGTGGGTGTGTTATATGTGTACATGTTTGTGTAGCTGCATATGCCTATGTGTACACACAGAGACCACAAGAGGATCTTGTCTATCACTCCCCTCCTTATTCCTTGAGACAGGGTCTTTCACTGAACCTGGAGCTAGGCTAATGGCCAGCAAACCCCGGAAATCTTCCCATCTCTGCTCCCTACAGCACTTGGGTTATAGTCAATTATGATAGCCTAACCTTTTGAATTTGTGTGCATAACCTTCACACATACAATTCTTATCACTACCTCTGATGGGGGCATCATAAGTATGCCCTATGCCCCAGTTCCCTCCATCAGCATATGCTACACATGCTGGTGGGTAATCTTGCCTTTTAATAGCTAGCATCTGGCTTTTCCATACCTGCCCTCCATCTCGACATCATTGTGTGGACCACTGCATCAGGATCGTCTGCCTGTGCCCTAAGAGATGTGTCCTTATCTACCCGAGTTCAGTACCTTAATCTCTCAGACATGTGTTTCTGGGGTGAGTGAGGCATCTACTGTGTCCCCCCACTCAAATGAGATTTATTTCACACATTTGTGATGTGATTGGACCTTTGAATCACAGGCTGGAACTCTGGGGATCGAGACCATCTGGCTAGGGATTAGAAATAGCTGTGCTAACCTCACATATATGAAGTTCCTGGACAGGTCCAATCACAGAGACAGGAAGTGGGCAGTGCTAAGTGGAGCTGGAAGGAGAGGGACAGGAGAGTCAGTGTCTGTCAGGGACTGGGGTTATAGTTTTGCAAGGCAAACAGTTCTGAGAATAGGTGTGTGGTGGTGTCATGGCAAGTAAGTGTGTTGATGCCATGGAACTAGGCTCTCAAAATATTAAAATGGTAAATTTTATGGCATGAACATTTCATAACAATTTTTAAAAGGAAGGAAAGGAGTACTTGTTGGGCAGGGACAGTTTCTGTCTTTCCACTTATGTGGTTTAAAGTCACATACCTGAGCCATGGCAAACCCTGGCATAAGATTTAAAGAGCCATTGCCCCATGTGGGCACAGCCAGGGGCCCTGCTTCCCCTGAGTGCTTCTCCTGCCGGATCAGTGAGTCAAGAATTCAGAGGAGACAAGAGGCCACCATGCTTGAGGCTGTAAATGTCTAGGCCATGGCATGAAAACAGTCTAGTGGTCCAAGTCCCCGACAGTTGGCAACCACTCTTTCTGCATCCCAGTTTCTCCACCAAACTCCCCTGAGAGGATGAGCCCAGGCTTCCAGGAGCAGTAGGAGGGAGCCCCACTCACTTGGCATAGGCTTTCTCCAGCAGTGCGCTCCAGAACTCATTGTGGTCAGCAGAGTGGAGGAAGACCAGGCGGTCCCTGAAGGTGGGCAGGCGGTCATCGATCACGACATCCAGCCACTCACTGTGCTGCCAGAACTAGTGGCCAGGGCAGGAAGAGATGACAAGGATGAGTCACGAGGGGGTGTGGGCCCGGTGGTAAATGCTTACTCCCTGGTTCTTCCCTCTGAGCAGACTGCCCTTGTGCTCCAAGAAAATCTTACCTGTTGCCATGGCAGAGCCACATGGATGTCATGGCAAGGCCATCTGGGTGTCACAGCACGGTAAGCCAGGTGTCACAGTAGGCCTACCTGGCTTTGTCCACTCAGCCATATACTGGGCCTTAATCCACCATGAAAATCAATTCCAGGACTGTGTTACCATGGAAGTGGGTGAGGGAGCAGTCACAGTAGACACACCTGTGTTCTGAGCTAATCCATCTTCTTTGTAGGACACCAGGGTAGGTGGGCAGGGGAGGGTGGTGTACGGGCTCAGCTCTGTTCACACACAGTCCAGTCTCCATGGACACTGCTGCCTTGTTTGGGCTTTCACTTTTCCATGTTTTCCCACCCACATAATTCCCCCTTGAAGATGGAGCTGCAACGTGAGCCATGCACATAGAAGTAAGGAGCATATATGTAATGCACCTGAGAGTTCATTTGGGAGTATGCATGTGTGAACATATGCATTTATGGGCACGAGTACCATTACATGCATATATTTGTGAACATGAATGTGTTCATGTACATGCATGTGGTGTGTGTTCGTGTACATGCACTTGCAGGTTAATACACATGTGTATACACTTAATTGTGCATGTGTGGGTGTCCTAGTTAGCATCAGCTGTTAACTTGACAGTTTGGAGTCATCTCAGGGCATGTCAATTGAGGAATTGCCCAGGTTGGGTTGACCTGTGGCCATGTCTGAGAAATTATCTTGACTGCTGTGGGAGAGCTCGGCTCACTGTGGGTGACACCACCCTCAACAGATAGTTCTGCACTATATAAGAAAGCTAGCATGAACTACTGTGCAAACTGTAAGCAGCATTACTCCATAGTTTCTTCTTGAGTGCCTGCCCTGACTTCCCCTCAGTGATGAACTGTGACCTAAAAGTGTAAGCTGAATAAACCTTTCCTCCTCTAAGTTACTTTCCACAGAGACAGAAAGAAACTAGAACAGTGGGTGAGTATACGTGTGAATGTGTGTGGGACAGAATATGTAGATGTGAATATGTAGGTGAATGGGTGTGTGTGTATGTATGTATGTATGAGTGTGCACATATATGAGTTAGCACATATATGTGGGTGTACTGTGTGTGAGTCAATAGGTGTGATGCATGAGAATGTGCATTGCCTTCAGGTATAGAAGAATGTGTATGTTTGCATAGGCATGTGAGTGCATGTGTATGTTTTTGTGTGCACACGTGTGTGAGTATATACACATATGAACAGTGTGCTCATCTGTGTATTACATGTGTGTTTACCTAGGTGAAGAGAGTCAGGCAGAGAAAGCATGAGGACAACAGGACATCAGACCTATGGGGCAAGCTTCACTATCAGCTGCCATACAAGATCATGGCTTGTAGGGCCATGTGTCTCAGTCTTCTGTTTGAAAGCCTCAAACATCTCCCTATCTACACTTCCTCAGTAAGGGGAGCTGCTCTGCTTAAGAAAAGTACCCTGGCATCCATGTTTCCCCGAGGATACTATATGCTTTTCCTTCCCTACTGCTTGCTGCCTCTGGAAATCCCCCCAAGACTCATGCACACTGTCACACAGCTCCCAGAATTGTCAACAGTACAAAGCTGTACACAGTATCTCCTGGGCCTCTTCCCCCAACAAATCAACCCAGAGGCTCAGGCTTCTCTTACCTGGAAGTGAAATATCCCAGCATAGCCAGAGCCAAAGCCTTGGTCCTGGGGAACCACCCTGGCCAGTGCTTTCTGATTGAGGGTGAGGGAGGCAATGGCCGCCAGGAGCCAGCAGTCTCCTGCAGAGTGGAGGTCACGAAGGTGTCATACTTTCTGCCACTGATTCTCAGGAGTCAAGAAAAAGCAATGCCACAGGGGTGTGGAGACACATTTCTGCTTGGCTGAAAACAATGGAGTGACAGCAAATACTGCTGTTCCCTCCACCTGTCCAGCCTGCTCTTCTGTCGTGCCCTGTGGCTGCCTCCTGGATACTGCGGCAGTGTTTGCTGACTGCTTGCGTCTCATCTTCATAAGGGCTCAGAGAACCAGGGCTGAGTGATGTGTCAAGTACTTCTGGATGGGGAAAGGGTCTTGGAAACGAGCCAGTACCTATTGCAATCCTGAGCTACTGCCTTTCCTAGACTAGGCTTGGTTCAGCTGTGAGCAGCAATAGCTCCAAGGAGGCTCCTTTGACTCACTTTCTCCCTTCCATCATTTCCTCATTCTTCCTCCCTCCCTTCCTTCCTCCCTCCCTCCCTCCCTCTCTTCTTTCCTCTCTGTCTTCCTTCTTTCATTCTTTTTTTTTCCTTCCTGGTCTTTTCTGACAGAGTTTCATTCTATAGATCAGCCTGGCCTGGACTTCAGTATATAGCCTAAACTGGGCTTGAATTTGTACCAATTTTCTATCCATTCATCAACTCATCTATCCAACATCCATCCATCCATCCATTCACCCCACATTCATCTATGTATCATTTATATATCATCTACTCATCTATCACTCATCCACCCATCTATCATCCATCCATCTACCATTCATCTGCCTATCCATTTGTCTATTATCCATTCATCACTAATCTACCCAAGCATCATCTACCCATTTACCATTCACCATTCTCCTACCCATCTATCCATTGACCATCCGTTATCTATCTCTCTATTTGTGCTATCTCTCATCTGTCAACCAGATATCATATTTGTACATCTATTTATGTATGATATATTGATTTTTATGGTCTTTCTATCAGTCTATCTATCATCTATCTGTATTATCAATCACATATATCTATTATCTACCATCTATCATCTATTTGTTATCTATCACTTATCATATATCTATCTACTTTTTTTTTTCTTTTTGGTTTCTCAAGACAGGGTTTCTCTGTATTGCTTTGGAGCCTGTCCTGGAACTAACTCTGTAGACCATGCCTTCCTCTGTCTCCCGAGTGCTGGGATTAAAGGTGCCACCAATGCCGGGCTATCTATCTGCTTATCATATGTTGACTATCTTTTATAGTCTATTTATATTATCTGTCTTCAATCTATCATCTATATATCTGTATTCTATCTATCTATCTATCTATAAATGGTCTATCTCTCTTTTTCAATCTAGTTTACTGTCACCACTTTGGGCAGCTGGCTTTGGGATTCTGTGTGAAGACAACTCAGGTTCTCATTGAGATTCCAGATAATCTGTTCTAACCATAAAGATCACAGTGACAGCCTGGGATCTGAGTAGCTAAATCTACACAAGTCATATTTCCTTCTTTAGTAGATTCTATAATGTGTCTGACTTTCAAATATTCAATAAGAGCAAGTTTTACAATAACTCCTGGTGTACTGGACTGCTTTCGCTGCTGTGAGGACTACCAGGGTCCCTTGTTGGAGTAAGACTGTGTGAGCATGAAAGCTACTGTGGTGTAATGGCTAGAAGTATGGTTTCTGTAGCCAAAATGGTTTTGCAGTCTGACTGCCCATCTATCATTCATGACCTTGGACTTATTGCTTGGTTCCTTTGCCTCAGTTTACTCATATGCAGCCATGGGGAGCTGTCTGGGAAGAGGAACAGAAGTGTGAAATCTTAGGGAAAGTACCTGGTAGGTGAATAGGTTCATGGTGTAGGCACCAGTGAGCTATGAAACCATGAGCTGAAGGGTTAGGTGCAGCTTTTAGGGGAGGCTCAGCTCTCTGGGAACTTCTGGACAGACCCAGAATCAAAGCACAATGGTACCAGAAAAGCGGGAGTGCCAGCGGTGGGGAGGCCACGGGACTCCCCACAGGGCAGGCAGCTGAAGACTAGGGAGGGGGTGGACAGGGTGGTGGCCTTGCTTTGCTCAGCCCTGGGCCCTGATCCTCAGGGGCCTGTGCTGCACTTAGAGTGTGATCCCTTGTCATCCCTCTCCTCCCTACTTACCCAGTTCCCCTTGACAGATGTCAGTCCTGGTGGCTCCTCCAAGAATGAATTCTGGGTTTTCCACAATTTCCTGGAGGAGTGAGAATATCTTAGGGAAAGGCCCAACGCACAGCGGCCATAGCAGAGAGAAAGGCAGCCCCTGTCCCTCGGGGAGAAAGATTCTCATGGAAGGCCAGGAGTATGCAAAAAGCTTCCAGGGATTGTGCTCTGACTTCCCTGGACTCAGCTTAGTCCATCCACAGCTCAGCCCAGGGGACAGCCTGGCACCGGCACCTTCCTCTATAGAAACTCACACCGTATCTAATGAGGAAGTGGGCAGTCAGCCATGTATCAAGCCTCAGTGTGTGGCTAGGCACAGGCTGGTTCTATGTAGCCTCTTACCAGGTTTGGGCTTTGAGCTCTTCACCATGTAATGAGCATGTGATCAGCACCTCAGACAAGCATACCCTACCCAGCTGCTTTCTTTTTCCCAATCGCATGTAGAGGGATGTCTGCATGTCACCCATAATTTTATCTGCATGTACTATATACACTTTAATACATATTATCATATTAGGGATTTATGTAATTGTGTATATTTTTATGTGTATTACTATAAACATTAACACGTGGAAACCTAATATGGAAAGTTCTATATAAAACATTAAAAAGTAAAAGCAATTATATAAAACATGTAGATTTTGTTTGTTTTGTTTTTGTCTTTTGAGACAGGGTCTCACTATGTAGCTTTAGCTGTTCTGGAACTTACTTTGTAGACCAGGTTGACCTTGAACTCATAGAGATACTCCTACCTCTGCCTCCCTGATGCTAGAATTAAAGGTGTGCAACACCACATCCATCTAAAATGTGTATATATATATATATATATATATATATATATATATATATGAAAAAGGGTTTAAAATTTCTTAAGAATGCAGTCATATGACATGAAGCATGTGATTGCTGTCACCTGGTTACTTTGCACCGGCACAGCAGGGCTCTGAGGACACCTGATGTGGCAGAGGTAATAAATAGCTCCAGGGGGAGCCTTTTTTGATCAACCATTTCTTCCCCGCCCTGTGTTGAGGATGGATCCCCGAGTTTCAGCATGCTGTGCAAGTGCCCTACCTCTGATCTACACCCCCATATTTATTTTATTTTTTTATTTTGAGACACGTTTCACTAAGTTGCCAAGCTGGCCTTGTACTCTCCAGTAGAGTTCATGTCAACCTTGAACTTGGGATCCTTCTGTCTGAGCCTGCTGGTTGCTGGGCTCATCTCACTTCTTCATAGCAGTTACTGGGGCCCCCTACTCCTAGGTTGCTATCCTTGGGCAGCCACACCACTGCTGCTTGCTGTCCATTCTGCTTACTCTTTCCTCCCTCAGAAACCCAGGCCCTATGATTTAGGAACACTGTTTCTGGGCATCGAGAGTTGGAGAATTTGTGTTGCTCCCTGGAATAAATATGCTGCCACACTCAGTGTGCCTCAACTTGTCCTATAGGTCTTGACTTCTTTCTCTTCTTTTCCCATCCCAATCCCCCCTCCCTCCCTCCTTTGTTCCTTGGGATTTTTGAGACAGGGCCTTACTATGTATCATAGCCTGGCCTCGAAATTAGGATCTTCCTGCTTCAGCTCTCTTCTGCCTTTCCAAGTGCCAGGCTCTGTCCCTGGCACTTCAGGACCTTCAGTCAGCTGTCAGGGAAGGGCTGGGGAATGCTGTGTATGGTGTGAGACCAGGAAACTGAGGGGAGGCTAAGGTGCACAGAGACACAAGCATCTGCTGGAGGCCTTCCTGTGGAGGTCCAGAAGAGGGAAGAGCATAGCCCGAGGCTTCAGAGATACTTTAACTGGATCAGGGTGACACCAGAAAGGACGCAGGATGGGTAAAGCTAGAACAGAGGAGGAGCCAGGACTGGGGCAGAAAGTCCCCAGAGTCTCTAACTTGATACTTGGAATAGCTCCAGCTGTGACTCCTCCTAGCAGTCCAAGTTGCCTGCTTCCTGGGCTCAGATCCCACAGAGATGGTGGGAGTGGGAGTCTACTAAGGCCAAGGACCAAAGTGAAAGCTGATAGCTTTCCATGAGGCCCTCAGGATGAAGCAGTCTTGGGGAGTGTAGTCTCCCAGGTCACCTGCCCAGGAAGGGCTGTGTGCCTTTATTTGTTTCTAAAGTGTTCATGTGACCTTAGGGCGAGGATTCTGGGACAGACTGTGCTGTTGGCTGTGCCAGAAGCTCAGGCCTGGCAGAGGAAGGACATGGGAGGCCAGCTTCTCCGGGGACCCTGCACAACCTTTTGTACCCGCCCTCGGCCCTGGCAGCCTTGGCGCCTGTCCATTAACTGACCCCATCCACCATGCCCAGGACAGACAGCGAGGCAGTAGAACAGCTCCTCCATCTTTGTACCTCAGGGTGGCTGTGTGGCCTTCTCTATACAGCATGGCACACTGTTGTCCCCATCTGCTGTCCTCTCCCAAGCAGAAGTCTGGTATGTTCCCTCTTGCTCCTGCCAACACTAGGTTCCTTTCTCTTCCTCCTCTCCCCCTACTCTCCTCCACTGAGTGCTTCTAGCTCTGGGCCACCTGGGAGTGAGTCTAACACTCCACCACCTCTAATGTCACACTGGCTTTGTGTTCCCTTTCCTCCCACACAGCTGTGTTTGACAAGAAGGAGGGTCACTGCCCACAGCCCATAGAGTAGCTTGGCATATGCTCTTGAGATGTGCCCTGCATGAGGTATGCACTTAGCCACAGGCTTTCTGGAGGTTGAGACAGCTCAGGACCTCTATGTATGCCTGCCCTGCACCAGACCCTACACTTGCCCCTTGGCATGACAAGAGGAAACTCAGGCTTCACTGGGGCTGTAGGGCTGAATACAGAGAACAGGCTCCCTGAGTGGGTTTTCAGGGACAACATGTAGGCAAGGGACAGTGTGGGTCACACTCACAGAAGAAGCAGATCCACAGGATGGGCTGTGACAAGACTGAACATTGAATGTGATGAAGACAGGCATGGCTTGGTTCCAGCCTCAGCCAGGGAAGGACAGAAGGACTCAAATTTGGGGCACCTTTGCAAGGGGTATGTGGCAAGCACCATGGAGGCCTGTGCTTCAGGGCCCTGCCCTGCAGATCAAAGCCTCCCAGTGTCGGGCAACTCTGGGTGGGTATCAGTGGTACAGTCTCTAGGGCTTCGGGCTGAGACTCAGAGTCTCCAGCGCTTTTAGTAGTCTCCCATCCCAGGAGGAGAGACAAAGGTCTTCTGGCTCTAGAGAAGAGGTTCTCAACCTTCTAATGCTTCGACCCTTTAAAACAGTTTCTCACATTGTGGTGATCCCCAACCATAAAATGATTTTCATTGCTACTTCATAACTCTACTGTTGCTGGTTTTATGAGTTGTAATATAAATATCTGATATGCAGGATATCTGATATGAGACCCCGTGAGAGGGTCAGGTGACCCCCAAAGGGGTTTTGACCCACAATTGAGAACAGCTGCTCTAGAGGAACAATGTTAGTGTAGGTATGAGGCTGGGCCTCCTGAGTGACTCAGCGTGGCCACAGAGCAGTTCTTAAAGGAGCAGGATGGCCTCAGCAGGGAGGCTGAGAGGAGAGAAAGTGCAGACTGTGAAGAGGAACAAAAGTCAGGGCAAGCTGAGAGTGGACGAGAAGAGAGGACCAGCATCTGGGAACACCTGGAGTCCTGATGGCTTGCCGAACCAAGCCTTTTGCTGCACCCAGAGGTCCCTAGGCCAGACTCCCACATTTACAGAGATCTAGTGCCAAGGCCTATAGCATATTTGAGCATGTAGGTACACATAGAGAAATTCACACACACAGGATGCGTGCATGTGTGTGCACACAGACACAAAGTGCCCAGACACGTACACATGCAAGAACAGAGCTAAGTATGCACACCACACAAATACACATGTGCACAATGTGCACATAGGCATACACAACACACTTGCAAATATAAATTGTATGCACAAAATACATACATATATACATGCATGTGTCAAGAGTGTGGCTATCAAAGGCTGTGGCCCCAGTAAGTCTGCTCCCAGAAGCTTTTAGAACAAGTACTCATCGGGCAACACAGGAAACATGATTGCGTGTGGCATCCTGAGATGGAAGGGAAAGCTGCCTAGGGCCAAAAGTGACCAGGCCAAGCTGTGACTACCCTGAGAAGAGGCATCAACTTCTCAAGAATAATTTCCCAAGACCTTGATTGTCAGCAATTCCCAGGATTGAGTGAACTGCACCACAGCCCATGGCCCAGGCAGCTGCTCATTACTGGATGCAATGCACCCACAGCCTGGGAAGTTGCTCAACATGGAATGAAATGCATCCTTAGCCCATAGCCCAGATAGCCGCTCACACCAATGGATGAAATGTACACACAGCTTGGGCAGTAGCCATGTACCCATTTATCCTTGTCCTGACGGCTGGAAACAAGCCCCAAAAGACCCAAGGGTTACCAAAGTGTCATCAGAGGTCACTTCTCTGTGTCTTAGGACCTGTACTTTTTCACATTAGGAATGGCCATTTTCTTCCATAGCAGAGAGCAGTCTATTTATCAGCCCACATGGCCCAAGTATTTACCTTTACCATCATTGGTCACATGCAAAGAACTAAACTAACTTAAAGTGGCTTTCAAGTGCTCAGAGAGAGATCCTGGCAGCCTTCACTATGTTTTACCAGGACCATTGAATGCTCTTTGCTGTCCCCCACAATAAGACACCAAAATAGGACCATGAGGACCATTACCTTACTGATGGAGGCCAGTGTCGTCTGTGTACACAGACACATATGCATACATGTGAGTATATATTATGTGAAGGCACATACAAATGCCTATGTGTGTACATAATACATACACAATCTGAAATAAACGTATTTACTTATAAACTGCACATTGTCTAGGACAGGAGGTAGCAAGTAAGTATTGGTTAATTTTTATCAACTCATTACAAACTAGAGTCATTGTAGAAGAGGGAACTTCAATTGAGAAATTGCCTCCATCAATTTGGTTATAGGCAAGTCTGTGGAGCATTTTGTTTTATTAATAATTGATGTGGGAAGGTCAAGGCCACTGTGGTAGGTGTCCCCATGGGCAGGTGGTCATGGGTTGTGTAAGACAAGTAACCAAGCAAGTCATAGGGAGCAAACCAGTAAGCATGTTCTCCTCATGGTCTTTGCTTCAGTTCCTGTCTCTAGGTTTGTACCTTGAGACAGGCCCCTGTCTCAAGTTCCATTTACAAGTTCGTGCCCCTGCTCAAGTTCCATTTACAACGAACAATAAGATACCAGGTGAATAAAACCTTTCCTCCCCAGGTTGCTTCTGGTCATGGTGTTGATAAGAGCAGAAGGAAGCAAACTAGGACAATCTCAGGGCTTTGTACATAATTCCCCCAGGAGCCTGGATGTCTTTCTTGTGTATGTGTTTTCTAAGTCAGACATGCCATATGTTGAGCACATTGACGTTACTTTGATGATGTGCAATAAGAAGAGGTGGTCACGGTAAGGAAGATGAAATCTGAAGGCTGGCAAGATAGTACAGCAGTAGAGGCACTTGCGTGTAGGCCGAGGACCTGAGTTTGACACCCCCACCCCACCCCCCCACCCCCGGATCCCACCGGGAAGCAAGGAAAGCAGCCTCATGAGAGTTGTCCCCTGCCTTCCACATGCCTGTTATGGAGCCTTCATGCCCACAGACAGAGTAAACAAAATAAGGGTTGGTGAGAAAGCTCAGCAGGCAAAGGCACTTGCTGCCAAGGCTGATAGCCTGCATTTGATCCCTGGGACTCACAACGTGGAAGGAGAGAACCTGTTCCTGCAAGTTGCCTTCTGACCTCCATATGACCATTGTACTCATGTACACACACACACACACACACACACACACACACACACACCCAAGTAAATCAAGTAAATGCAATACAAATGGATAAACAAATAGAACTTAAGGATGAGATTCTGAGCTACCAATGATGGAGAAGCACACAGCAGTGCTGACAGTAACAATCCGTTCTTTACCGAGGGCACCTCTGTGCTGGCCCAGACCTACCTCAGTCATCTCTAGGTAAAGAGGCCACGGACGGTGCATTGCCTCTCCCTGCACACACACCTGTTCCCACCCTGAGGGTGGAGCAACACGCTGGCTCTGGGTCCCAGGGAGGGCCCTGACTAGCCAGGTGCTGCAAATATTGACCTTGTGTCTCGAGCACCAGCTGCCTCCTAGGGACACTGGAGGTGGGTGGGGTGGCACCCACCACTCTTGTCTATCTGGGAGTGGTGTGTGCTGCTTTGGAAAGGTAGCCCTGCTTTACCTAGGGTCCCGACATCACACACTTGCTAAGAACTTGTAGTAACAGCCACCTATCTCTATAGTGTATCCCCAGCTCTGGGCCAACATCCTCAGACCAGGGCTGGCCATCTCAGTACATCACACACATCTCAACTGACCCCCCTCACCTGCCATCCCGGCTAGTTTGCCTCCTCTGTGTTCTGACTGACCAAGTCACCAGAGAGCTGTCCTTGGGCTATAGCTCTGATTCTGCCCACAGGTCATACATGAGACTTTCTCTCTTTATGTCCCCAGATGCAGTGGGACTCAGAGCTGGAGGCCAAAAGGTTGTGGCCAGATACCCTGGGGACCAGCTGAAGGTGTCTCCAGTCAGCACATTACCAGAGAGCCTTTCACAAAGGGCAGAAAGTGGTCTTACAAGTGATTGGCTCTTTCCCACCCCTCCAGCTCCCCCTCCCCTTGTCCCTAGCCCTACCCCCTCCTGCCTCAGTTTCTCTTCCTGCTCCTCACCCTACTCACCCCTGGTCGTTTCCACACAAAGGGGACCTGGGGCCTCTCACTGTAGAACAGGGAGCTGTTGCTGGCAGGGAAGTCGGCATCCTCAAACAAGATGCTGGACTCTAGGCAGTCCTGCCTCAGCTCCTCAAAAGTCTGACCTGAGGAGTGGATAGTCCGGGCATCCTTGGGCACTGGGTGTGGCTGGGGCCTCAGAGACTGATGCAGGTAAGGCATGACTGCTTCACAGCCTGGTAGAGGGAGATGTGAGAGGCAAGTTGAGAGTGGCCAGCAAAGAGGAACAACCAGAGGTCCTCACCCTGTCCCCCGCCTGCTTGCTGGGCCCCTCCCTGTGAAATGAGATGGGACCCTCCCTAATGACAAACACTAGGCGAGACCTCTGCCCATTCAGGCTCGAGGAACCACAGGCATCTCTGGAGCCGGGCTAAGTGTGAGCAGAGGGAGGAGGCACCTCTGTTTGATACACTGGGGAGTCTCTGAAGGGCAGGCAGGGCTGCTTCAGAAGGAAGGAGAGCAAGCAGCTAAATTGGTTCAGGGGGTGGTTGGGGGGTTCGGGAGTCAGAGCAGAGAGGGGCAGAGCTTTGTGGTTGAGGGACCTGGGTGATTGACAATATTACACTGCGGGCAGAGCTCTCTGGTCTTTTGTGACCACAATCCCATCCTGACTTCCATCAGGTCTCAGCAGCCTCTTCTGTGGTAGGCCTTCCTAAAGTCCGTGGAACACCGTCTGTGCTCACTCACTTGACAGTCACAGCTGCCAAAGTAAGTGTGTTGACAGAAATATGAGGTTACGTCCTTACCAAGCCTTCTCTACAAGGCTGCGGAATTGGCTCAGGTGGGAAAGTGTTTACTGCACACTCACAAGCTTGAGCCTCCTGGATCTACATAGAAAAGCTGGGCATAGTAGCATCCACTTGTGATCCAAGCACTGAGAAAGCGGAGACAGATGGGTGTTTTGGGGATAGCTCTAGGCCAAGGAGAGATGTTACCTCAAAAGAGCAAAGTCTCCAGCAGTGGTGGCGCACACCTTTAATCCCAGCACTCTGGAGGCAGAGGCAGGTGGATCTCTTTGAGTTCTAGGCCAGCCTGGTCTACAAAATGAGTTCCAGGATAGCTAAGGCTACACAGAGAAACCCTATCTCCAAAAAGAACAAAAATAAAAACAAACAAACAAAAAAGAACAAGGTATGAGTGCTGAAGAGATGGCTCAGCAGCTAAGAGCACTGACTGCGCTTCCAGAAGTTCAATTCCCAGCACCCACATAGTAGTTTACAGCCATCTGTAATTCCAGTTCTAGGTAACCCAATCCCTTCTAGCTTCTGTAAGTACTGCACACATGTAGTATATATATACATACTTGTAACATGAAAAATAAAAGACCCAGAGACTAATATTGGAATTCAAGCTTTAAGCTGAAGATCAGAGAAGCAAAGCAATGAGCCAGTAGATCTTACCTCTACCAAGCTGAAACCATGAATCCTCAGAGGCAAAAAGTTCTGAGTTCCTGTCTCCTTTTCCTTATATTCTTTTCTCCACCCAACCATATCCTCCTGCCTCTACCTCCCTAGTGCTGGGATTAAAGGCATGAGCTCTGTTACTCTTCATTCTTGTGTAGCTCTATCCACCTGCCTCCTGAGTCCTGGGGTTAAAGGTGTGTGCCACCACTGCCCAGCTTCTACAGCTAACCAGTGTGGCTGGCTTTGCTTTCTGACACTTCAGGCAATCTTTATTAAATCATAAACAATATATCACTACACATAATGTAGGCAAAACATCATACAGATAGAGAAATAATAACAACAAGGTGTATGGCACCAGAGGAACAATGTCTAAAGTTGACTTTTGGCCTACTCACTCTCTCTCTCTCTCTCTCTCTCTCTCTCTCTCTCTCTCTCTCTCTCTCTCTCTCTCTCTTTCTCCAAAAACATGAGGTCCTGGTGGTTTAGCCCTGAAAGAGGTGAGCTGAAAGGAGGGCTCTAAATCTCTCCTCCAGACCTTGCAGCCATAATGTCCCTAATCACATAAACTTTCCATCAGGACCTCACAGGCTCTCAGTGGCTTGAGCAAAGCTTCTAGGTATCTCAGAAGCATACTCAGGCATCGTCTGGTACAACCTTTCTTCCTGGAGCCAGGACAATGGTACCTGGGGAGCTAGCAGAGTCTATGACAGGGTTTTCAGGTCTAAGGTAGCCACTGGGAAATGCTAACTGGGTGACTGACTGAGATGAAGATTATTTCTATTTCACAGTGCCCTCAAAGGCCCCGTCAAGCTAATTTACAAGAAATAGGGCCAAGACTATTGCCCCATTGACAGAGTACATGTCTAGTGTGCAGGAGGCTTTGAGTTTGATTCTCAACACCACAGAAACATGCATGGTGGCACATGACTGTAATTTTAACACTTGGGGGATGGGGCAGGAGCAGTGTAAATCGAAAGTTACATAGCCTGGGCTAGAGACCCTGCAGGAGATAGGGAGGGGAGGAAGGAATGAGGGAAAGAGGAGAAGAAAGAAAGAGGAAAAAGAAATTGTATAATTCCTCCCCATCTGAACTCCATGCTCAAGTTCTCCAGAACAAGGCTAGTCCCTCGAAGCTCTCTGTTGGTCACAGAACTCTCTTCTGGGGCCCAGAAATGTGTGAAGATGCTGTTGCATAGAGGCAAGCATCCCACTGTGTGGGGGCTGAGCCTCTGGGCTCAGGGGACAGAAGTGAGCTCACTGTGTTGGACCAGGGGTCAGGGGGTCAGGGGACAGGTGTTGTGGCTGTAAAGAGGAAGCGGGTGGCTTGAATGGAGTTGTGCACTGACTGGAAAGCCAGCCTTGGGAAAGCAACTCTCTGGGAGGGCTTGAAAAGAGCTCCCTTCCAGTGGTGCTGTAGATGAGACAGGTAGAGAGGGGGTGATGTCAGGAGTCATGAGAGCAGCCGTCAACAGGGAGCGCTGTTGGAACTAGACCTGAAATCAAGCTCACCTTCCAGGCTGGAAACTCAGTAGCAGGTAAGTCTCTGGTTACCAAGAAACCAGATGATGCAGGAACCTGGCTGCTAAGAACCACCCAGACTGAAAGGAGTACATCACTCACAAGACTTCATCCGGAGGCAGGGCAAGCTTCCTGTCCTCCTACTGGAAGGCTTGGTGCCTTGGAGTAGATACTCCCAAAGTCAAGTCTTGCTTCCCACAGAGATCCAGAACTGTGTCTCCACAGATGGTCCAGGACTCTGACAAACATTCCTGGTTCCTACATCTGGCTGAGCCTGCCTAGCCCTTGGAGAGATTTTGTATACCTACAGAAGAAAGTCCCCATGATGACAGGCTGCACACAGTCACTTTCCATCTTCAATAGGAATGATCACATCTCTTATTTTTATCCAGTACTTGTCTGGACCTGACAGCATCCAGTGGGGGTTAATGTCACTGCCTGGAGCTGGGGGAGGGTGACAGGAGGCCATGGTCCCCCGGCTCTGACCTAGCTGAGTGTGGATGAAAGCAGAAGTGTGGAGTAGCAAAGGGCACAGTGGGAGGGAGGTTACATCAGACACAGGGTCAGGTCACCTTTGCTCTTTAAAACATACACACATACGCACAAACATTTACGTGTGTGTGTGTGTGTGTGTGTGTGTGTGTGTGTGTGTGTGTACTCATGTGTGCTTACGAGTTTCATAGGACAATTTATGGAAGTCAGTTCTCTCTTTCTACCATGTGAATCCCAGGGGCTGAAGTCAAGTTATAAGACTTGGATCCAAGTGCTTTGCCCGCTGAGCCATTTTGCTTACCCACCTTTGTCCTTCTATGTGGTGAGCCTAACAGTTACAGACTAGGCAGACACGTCTTATGACAGACACATCTCCCATGAGTAAGATGAGCTCACACACAGACACCTTTCTCCAACCTCTCTTCCCTGGCTCCTCTCCTTTTCCTCCAATTCTTTGTATGTGGGGGTGGTGGGGGGGTGCATTGTGTAGTGTGGTGCACATGCACATTTGAGGTCAGAAGTGAACTATTGGTATTGTTTCTTAGGCAATATTATTATTATTATTATTATTATTATTATTATTATTGAGACAGAGTCTCTCACTGGCCTGTAACTGACAAAGGTGGCATTCAGTGAGCTCCAGGGATCTCTCTCTCTCTCTCTGTCCCTGTCTCCCTCTTTCTCTCTTTCTCTCTCTGCTAAACTCAGGTCCTTTTGCTTGTAAGACACACACCTTTGTTTTAAACACTGTGTATGTTAATCAGGTGGCGCTTTCTCTCAGCTGGGCCATCAGTGCAGCATCCCCAGCCACACAGGTGGACCTCATACCCTGGACTATGTACAAAGTCTCTGTTACGTCTCATCACTCAAATGGCTACTTCTCACATGAATGCCCGGGCAGCGTGAGCTGCCTAGCTCCACACAGTGGCTGGCATCAGTGGCTAAGGAGCCTCAGCAACCACAGTACCCTCTAACAGTCCTCCAGTGAGACCCTTCCATCCACCGTCTTGGTTAGTTTGCTTGCTTGCTTGCTGGACACAGAATCTTACTCTGCAGTCCAGAACCTTGAGGCGATCCTCCTGCTGTTTCCTGGGTATTGGAATTGTAGGCTTGCACCACCATGCCCTACATCCACCCTGGCTTGCCCCTTCTCTTCGTTGTCTGCAGCAGAAAGATGCTAGTATTTGTGTTTCCAAATGTCTTTGCTGTGTTTTCCATAGAAGAACTGACCATAAAGCAAATATTATTTCCAAAGCTCAGTTTTCGCAAGAGACAGCCAGGCCCATAGGACAGAATTTGTACCATTGCTTGGAGCTCTGGTGGAAAGAGGGTGATGACATTTTCCGTAGGAAGGGCCATGTCTTATCTAAACTCATTGAGCTGCGGTAGAAGCACCCTCCCATAGACTTTCCCAGCACCTAAGCCAATGCAAACATGGAGTTCGGACCAGCAACATGTGGCTGCGGCTGTGGCTGTGGCTGTGGCTGTGGGCGCATGAACACTAAAGAGCCAGAGTAGGGAATGGGTTAGGAAAAAGCACTTTCTGTCTGCTGTTGTGGCCTCATTCTGCTGGGATGGTAATAGTACCCTGAGGATGCCCCCAGAACCTGCTACTTTAGCTATGATGTATGTGACTCTGGAGGAATTTTAACTGGCGAATTGTTTCTACTGGAGTCTGCCTGAGATTAGCTCAATGGAAAGAGTGCTTGCCTAGCATGCATGAAGTCCTGAGTTCAATCCTCAGTG